TTAGGGTTTAGGGTTTAGAAAAAACACCAAAACCCCACAGAGAAACTCCAAAGCAAAGGACCCGTAGCTCCATATACGTCCTCTATGGACCCGCAAGGCCCTACGAAGCCCTGAGGCAGAGGGGTATAGAATGTGCTGGTGCTGCAGGCCACTTTAAACCCTTGTAGTTATGCCATGCTTAGGAACACCCTAAGCCCTAAGCCCTAAACCCTAAACCGTAAACCCTACACCCTAAACCATAATCAGAACAAAGTTGTTGTCTATAAATCTTTCACCCCCATCAAACCCTGAACTCCAATCCACATACCAACTGTAATAGCAAACCTATGGAGCCATTCTAAAGGGGTTTAGGGTTTAGGGTTTTGGCATTATAAACACAACCTATATCCACAAAACCCTAGAGCTTTGCACAGGAAGAGCTGACCTTGGAGCCAGAAACTTTGAAATCGTCCTTGGCTTGGACCTCAGACGTGTGAAAAGAGTAGAGCAGGGTTCCTTGAAGGATTCCGGCTCCGAGTTTGGGGTCTAGGCTTTAGGATTTAGGGTTTAAGGTTTAGGATTTAAGGTTTAGGATTTAGGGGTTAGGGTTTAGGGTTTAGGCTTTACAAAAGACCAAGAAGCTGAAAGGGATCAGTCGAAGGGTGCCAAAGCACTGGCTATCCTTCATGAAACCTCTCCGAAACAACCTCCAGCTCCTCATGCCTAGGGTCCTTAAGAGCTTCATACGGCATTGAACGCTGTAGGGGTTTAGGGTTAGCACAATCCTTGCCTAAATCTGCGTATCTCCTTGCTAGAACCTGCACACCCCAAACCGTCCGCCCTTCCTTTGCTTGCGGCCCTGCCTTATCAAAGGCTGATCCGAGTCTGAGCGTTTGGAACATAGAAGTATAACTACCTTACATTCGACAGACCCCCGGAGATCGGGGGAGTCGAGCGCCGTAGCAAGGCCAGTGTTCAACCCAAGGTGCAGGGTTCAGGGTGTGTGTAGTGTTCAGGCTTTCCAGACGCTCTAGCATCGCACGGTACCATTTTCGGGAACTTCATTTTGGTGGACCCTTTCAGGGCTTTACCACTGAAAGTCCTATTGTAAAAGCATCCGCGGAGTTGCTGACCATTACAAGTCTACTCACAATCTATCAACCAAGTCATTGGTTCCCAAACCCAAGACGAAACCCTTACCTGGACTTGGAATGGCAGGCCGTGATAACAAAAAACAACCTGTTGACCTAAGTCGGTGAACCCTTAAATCACCGAAGCCTTGAACTAATGAAACTGTCCAAGAATACAAAAAAACGTAACAACAACTTCTTACGACAAAGCATACAACCGCACACCACGCGTCAAAGCCCCTATACAATCCCTATCCGTAAACCTTAAACTGCTCTATACCTTGAACCTTTGACCGTCTTGAGTAGATCTGACGAGGCTGGCGGCACACGGAAAAAGCACGCGGGCAGCAGGAGCTCGGGCATCGGCGGTTGCAGGATACAGGATCTTGATTTCAGGACGTTGTGGGTTCGGACTTGGGACCTAAACCCTATACCAGAAGAAGTTGAACCTTAGGTTTCGTTTTTCAGGACGTTCTGGATCGGGTGTTGAGGACGTTCTTTGGATCTTTGGGGCTTCACGTTTAGGGTTTAGGGTTTAGGGTTTAGGGTTTAGGGTTTAGGGGACGTCTAAGGCTTAGGAGTTTGCTGCTAAGGACTTGGAGGTCTATGTTCTATGCCTCTGTAGCACGGGGTTTAAGAGGTGCTTGCCTTCTGGCTTGAAACTCTTGCGAGGACGACTGAAGATCTGAGGATAAGCTATTCATTAGAGTTAGAGGGTCGCATGGTTCGGGATTAGGGCTTCGTGTTGGTACTTTGGGGACGTAGTGCTTTCGGTCATTTTGTGTTCGGAATTTTGGTGTTGGTGCTGTACTCGCAGCAGAGTCTTCAACTCGCAAGCCCCGCAGTTTGATTCGTGGAATTTCTGCCTCCCAATGTAGGAGGAGGGTTTGTAGCTCCTAAGCCCTACCTTAAGAACCCCAAACCCACTTTTTTGTAGGTTCTTATTATAAACCCTAATATGGGATTTATAGGGACCCTACAAAAAAGTAGGTTTGGGGTTCTTAAGGTAGACCCTAAACCCTGAACCATACTCGGAAGCTTAGTTCAAGTCCAGAGGCAAGGAACCCAGTCTATGCTTCTTTCCCCCGGCCCCCAGTCACTGGATGCATTGTGCCCGTGCAGACGCCGCTTGAAGAGATAGACCGAAATCCACACACCACATGCAAGCCCCTGGACATAAACCTACTGTTGCTTATCTGAACCCCGTGTCTTGAGATTCTTGAAGCCTTTATACTTGGATCTTTGTTATGCTCCGCATTCACGGAGAAGGGCTTCTTGATGAGGAGTTTTATTAATCCTGATCCGGGACCCTATGCCCTCAAACACTCGAATCCAACGTTGCTGCATCGTCAGGGCATCATCCAAGCGAACGGTGGTGATGTCGGAGGCCTTTGCATAGTAAGTGCGTTTTTGTCGTGTCAAGTTTTGGGATTGCGACAGCTATACATAGTGGGGTTAGCTAGTACGCACCAATATCTATGCATGTCTGTGTCTATGTCTGTACGCATGCATGCACATATGCATGTATGCATGTAAGTTGAGATTATTGATTCCCTTGGCTCTGGGAACTGGCTCCTTCGGCATTCTGAACTTGGTTTCCAACCCAGGTTCATGCGTCAGGAATGCCCTGTTTCAGAGTGTTGGATTGCTTTGTTTGGGGTGTTGAGGTTTTAGTTTAGAGCTAGGGTTTAAAGTTGCTCTCTTAAGGGCGCTGGGATCTTGAAATTGGGATGTATGAGGTTGTATTTCAGGACTTGGATGTTCGGGGTAAGGATTTTGAGTTTAGGGCTTGATGCTTCAAGGTATGGGGGGCCAAACCCTAAACCCTGATCCCCTAAACCCTGAACCCCTTGGACTGCCCGGCTGCCCCTGCAGTTGCAGGTGCGTCTGGGACTGTAGGCCTCACGAGCATCACTATCCGAAGAGCCAGTCTTGAAGAAACGGGCGTGGATTAGGGTTTAGGGTTTAGGGTTTAAGGCTTTAGGGTTGCAGGGTTTAGGGTTGTCGGGTTTAGGGTTTAGGGCTTTAGTCTTGTAGGGGGCGTGGATTAAGCAGCTGAGCTAGTCGCCGCAGTTCTTACCAGCCAGGAACTCACACACTCTCTCACAACACACACACACACACACACAGGGGTTTAGGGTTTAGGGTTTGGGGGTTCGGGATTTATGGGTTTAGGGTTTTGGGTTTTTGGGGCCGCTTAGGGACCAATTTCCAGGATGAAGGCAGTTCATGTCCTCCCAAACTCTCCCCATGAGACCCTAAAACCCTAAACCCTATATGGGTGGTTGTCAAAATTATGGTCCCTTTTTGGGTCCTTATTATAATACGGCACCTATTATTTAGGGTACCCCAAAAAGGGGCCCTAATTTTGACAACCACCCATATGTAATATGCCCACCCGCACTGGCGAGTACAGCCACTCATGAGGCTGCCCCTACTAATGCGACGCGCTGGCGCTTAAGGGCTACCAGCTTCTCACACCCTAAAGCCCAAACCTACAACCCTAAACCATTGACCCTCAACTCTCAACCCTAAACCCTAAACCCTAAACCCTAAACCCTCAACCCTAAACCCTAAACCCTAAACCCTAAACCCTATCCCTTTACGTCCTAAACCCCCTCACTCTGAACAGCAAGCACCCGATTCACTAAATCCAAAACCCAAAGACCAGGCCCAGGGAGGCGATGAGAGCAACTCGGTGGTGCAGAGAGCCAATGGTTGGTTTGCCGAAACAAGAAAAGGGGGTTTAGGGTTTAGGGTTTAGGGTTTAGGGTTTGGGCCTTAGGGTTTAGGGTTCAGGGT